TCCGCCTAAAATCCTCACAATGTCAATGATTCCATGAACAACACCTCATTACTGTCGATGGAATTATTCCGCATCCGTAATTCCGTTAATAATCCACTGGGCGTGAAAAAATTTATATCTCCGTGAATTCAGGTTGAGTATTGATAATTTTTTTTGTTGTTTCGTAAACCCTCTCGGTTTTTTACGATTTCAGCAGCGAAGTGGTAGAATGGTTTAAGTCGACTCATCTCCCAGTTGAGTTTTTGAGGAATATTTCCGAATCTAAGGGAGATATCGAAATTTTCGTAATAACATTTGTTGTAGCTCTCAATCGGCTCTACAGAAAAGGTTATAACAACAATTTCGCTATCTCCCTTAAATTCCGAGATATTCATCGAAAACTGGTCAATAGCCAAAATTTTTCCTGGATTCAAAGAGAATGAGTGATGGATTCAATGATTCAATTAAGTGGAATTACGCATCAGTAGCGCATGTTCTGCATAATCTCTGGTGAAAGCCATAGAGATTGGCTTCTCCAGGACGCAATGCGCTATCTGGCAACTACCCAGAATCCAGCGAGTTGCCACGAACGCTATGCACTGCTATCGGTCTGCGTATCCGCTCGCGTGCTCCATATAACCGAATCCGCAATGCCTCCGGGTCTCTTCGGATATCACTGGCTTTTCTCAGAGTGCGTTAACCCCATTTCTCTCTTTTTCGGGGGATATTCCGATCGTGGGGGTTCGACTAGAGAGAAAATGACCGACTGTCGCAGGAATTATTTCTTGCACTGACAGAAAAATTAGTTTTATCAAGAGAATCTTATTTGAACCAACTGTCAATTGGTTTTTAATTTTCAAATAAACATCATTTCATAGTGAATACCAGTTATCTCTTCTTGAGGTACATTTAATTGGGAGACATCAAACTTCTCTAGAATTAAAGTCCCTTTTATTTGTCGCAAAAATGAGAGTATTTGATTTCTCTCTAGTCAAAAGTGGGAAAGTAACATGTGGGAAATTGATCTTGTATTCCACATAGTATAGTTATTTTTGCTAATAAATTAGCAATATATTTTCGAATGATTATTTTGCGCATTATTTCCTTCTGTCATGTACAATGCATTGTTTATTTAATTTCATTAAATTGAATTTAAAAAATTGGAAAACAAAATTTTTTAAATCGTCGGAATTTTTTATCAAAAATTTGTGGTATTCGAAAAAATTAGTGTGATCCTCCCCCCGTAAGCAATGAAATAATAATTGGTCCAAATAAAATTCTCTTTATAAAAGTATTTTGTTCAGTGTATATAGAACATTGAATTTAACAAAAAATCCCTGAAAAACTTCTCTTTGGAAAATTGTGTCATCATATTTCCCGATAATTGTTGAATGTCGAATCAACAACGAGAAATTCAATGCAACGTCGGATTGAATTATCTCTCGATTCCAAGCTTCAGACAATAAACACTCAAAATATCACGACGAATTAATCCGAAATTTCATTGGTTTGAAATCCAATTCCTGAATGAAGATATCAATGGCCAACGGCAAAAAATCCGCACAAGTTCTCATTAAAAAAAATTACAATCCACAACTTTTTGCACTCAATTTCAATCAACTTCGCTGGGAAAAAAAATTTCAGTGGAGGAAAAACCAGTGTCCAATCGCATGCAATTGACTAATTGAACGGGCTGCGCGAATTTCACCAGACCTCTTTTACCTTTGATGATTTTTATGTCCCGGCTGAAATGAAGTTCAGTCAATCGAATTAGGGTGGATGGAAATGGTGGGACACAGGGGTGCCTGTACTGGAACAGACGGTATTTCAGATCCATCTTGTTTCGACGCCGGGGCGGAGCGAGGCATGACGGAAGTGGTATGAGGTATAAAAAAGAGTATTTAATCGAATTAAGGAACGAGACACTGGAAAAATGGACGAGTCAGTTATTAAATTTCTCAACGTGTTCCTTTTTGCAATTTTTTTTTGTCACATCACTTTAATTTTTTCAGTTTGCAGTGTGAATTCCACAAAAACTCCTAAAAAAGAAAAAATTTGTGGATTTTTGCTTCTGACAGCTTTTTAATCGTTTAAATTTAAGTTTCGGATTTTTTGTGTTATTTTGTGTTTAAGTGCAAGAATATATTTAACTGAATTTTCCTAATTCCTGTGAATAATTGAGGAATAATTATGCTAAAGTTGAAGTTTTCATTGATTTTTTAAAATAAAATTTTGAATTTTCAATGAGAAAATTCCTTGAATTCTCAGCGAAACTATAATCTGAAGTTATTTCCCAAGAAGTCTACCTGGAATTTCAGCCAAAAAAATGGACCAGTGAACCAAGATTTGATTTTCAACTGCTAAACTCTTTATTTGATTTTAATATTAATTCAAAAAAAGTTTATTAAACCCCGAAAATTTCATAACTCGATAAAATGAAATTTAAAAAATTATTAAAAGCAAATGACATATAAATTCGAATTTCTCTGGGTGCACGCTCTCTCTAATCCGTTCCGACAATATTTCTCGCTATTTTATGCGAACAATAGAGGCCAAATACGAGCTTAAGCATTAATGAAAGCTCTCGCAACATATTTTCCCCTCGCAGGAGCAAAAAAGAAAAAAAATTCCGCCCTTTCCTCGGCATATTCCCTCAGGGATATTCCGTGCGTGAAATATCCAGGGCTGCGCTGATTTGCGGGGGATCACCGCGTCAGACGAAATAAAATGATTCAAAGATGAGTATATCTCAGAGCGGAGTCTGAGAAAGTCTGTCCTTGAATTATTCATGCTAACGCGATACCAAAGTGATTGATATTTACGATCAATCCCACATTTTCTTAAATTAGTGATACATCGGGAATACGAATTAAGGTCAATAAAACATTGTGCTTGAGGATATCCAAATATTTTAACTACTTTTATCTCCAGTGAAATGCTTTTCTACTTTTGTAGCCGAACATCAGAGCTTTCATTTCACCCCAAGTTTGACATTTTACAATTATTTTGTGATTTAAACTTTGCAGGACTGAATTTTGATTTCAATATTGAACCGTTAGAAAACATTTTAAAAATCTGAAGAAAAAAATTAGAAAATTTGCTGGAGGAAGATTTCCAAATTACTATGACTATTACTATGACTATTATAATTACTGTGAAAACTAGTGTCCCCAAGACTTCTTAATTTAAGACACTTAAGGGTGATGAGTGTGGGAGATGTCAAATGAATTCAAACCTACTATCATTGCAACATCAGAAGGGCGTAAAACCTTAAATATCATTCTAAGGAAAAATAACCTTTCATCAGTATTTTTGATCACAGACCGCTATTCTCAACGTAATCAAAATCATCAGAGAACAAATGATTGGCTATTTAAAAACCAATAAAACCAATATTTACATGCAACAAACGGCTTAAAAAAGACGACAAAAGTGTCTTCATTTCAGACACTAGTTTTTCCATTGTAAAGCACTCGGTTCGATGCTTCCCAAAGCTTATCAATTTTTCCTGTCACAATGAAAAAGTTTGTTCCGAAGAAGAGAATCCGACGGGAATCTGCCTGACACGAGTCTGCAGTGATACAGAAACAGAAAGAATTTGCATAATACAATTTCCGCTTTGTGCATCCATGTATCTGTTACATTTTTCCCCTGTTTTAGGGAAAAAAAAAGATGTTTACCTTGACCGAACTTGACGTGAATGCGCCTTCACGCGAGTGGCAGAGGCAGGATAGGCTGGATGTGACCCAGTTTCCGTCTATTCTACACTCTTCCACAAGTAGCTAACCCAAATACTCCGCTCACCACTCCAGGGGCTTAGTTATCAGTACTTATGCGTCTGTAACATTTCTGTATTTGCCCATGTATTTTTCCACTCATCGATGTGTGAGGAGAATTTTACAGGTGTTTTCAGAAAAAATATTCATCCGGCGATGACAAAACATGGTGTGGTTAAAGTTTTGATGACTCTTGTGGGCAATCTAAAGTTCGGAAAAGTGTAAATTTTTTTGGAATTTAATTTATTACTGTTTATCAATAAAACATCAAGCGGAATTTTGTTTTCAGAATAACAAAATAGTTATCGAAGTTGAAAATATAATCTGCATTTCATGAATTCTCGAGTGGAAATTCATAATGAAAAGTTTACGGTGGAATAAATTGGCAGTAGTAGTGCGTCGAATATTTTGTTCAGAGTTTCGAGAGGATTATGGCAATTACCGGGGCTTTGATGGGAGCGCATCGGAATATGAGGGCCATAAGAATCTGGAAGTTTATAAAGTCAAAAATCAATTTTTTTACAAAAGAGGGATTTGTTGAGAAACACTGGTTGATTCCGCATTCATTGAGACTTCTGACCCTTAAGGTCCTTATGAATTGGTGACTTCGTGACCTTGGTGACCCTAAGGGTTATTACAGGAAACACAATTATGTTCATTTAAAAGGTGAAACACATTTTTTAAACAAATTAAGGGTATCAGAACAAAAATCATGAGCCTTCAAAAAGTTCATGAGAAAAAAATTGAAATTTGCTCAAAACTGATATCTTCTGACAAACGCCGATCAGATTATTAAAATTCCTGATCCGTATGACCCTTACGACCCAGAATGAAAAAGCAATGAGAGAATTACAACAATCAGAAACACCTTGGGAAATGAATCAAAACCGAGAATGACCCTGCCACTGGATAATAAATCTTTGTCCCCAAAGCACATCCTCCCGTAAATAGGAGATGAATCTAGACATAAGTAGTTATTGAACGATAAGACAAAGCTCGCATACAAAGACCTCTTAACCAACATTTTCCGTGTGGCGCGTGACAGTGGAGTTGCCAAGTCCGCCTTAAAGCTGATGAGCCCAAGCCAGTTAGAGGCTGTTCTCCCTCGGGAGGAGAGAACCAATCAAACATGTTTATTATCGCAAAGCAGGGGTTAAAAAAGTCTTGAAGCTTCTTTTGGATTAAAATTCATATTCTCTCGATACTGGAAGGCTAATCTTGTTGAACAATTCTTGTGCGTTTCAGAACGGAACGATAATTCGAATACTGTGTGGATTTGAGATTATTCTTACGTGAACAATGGGCGGCTGGATTGTAACCACACTGGGAATTGTCCTGGGAATTGTCATTGTTGTTACTCTGGTTTTGTACAGGAGGTGAGTGGATTTCAATCCGTTTTTATGATGATTACGAATTGAATGCTTCACACGGACCCGGTTGCACGAGCTTCAGTTGACTAAATCGTCAGTTAAGAAAAATAGATTTTACAACTTGTGCGTAAAGTGAAATTTTGCGTACGCGGAGTGTTTCACACATTATAATCAACAATAGGGTTCGACATTCATGGGAAAAGTATTCAGTGACCCTTGGCAGGGTAACACTCACCGAAGTCACATCACCCACCAGTGAAATACCACTTTTTCATCAAAGTAACTTTTTAGGCACGCGAAGCGTAACATATCCCATGGGATATGTAATTAATAAATAGTGTAATCTTGTAATTTTAATCTGAAAAATATTCAATAACATATAATATAATGTACACAATTCACACTTTTTCCGCAAGTGTCGAACCCTATTTTTCATGACGACGTGTGGAAAGCGGAGTTTCCCACACGTCGAGCGTGCGTAAAATTTCTCTTCACGCACAAGCGATGAAAAATGATAAAAAAATTAAAAAACAAGTTGAAATATTATGCAAATTTCTCAGCCACGCCCTGACCCGGCCAAAAAAATTATTAGCACATGCAATTAAATCGATCCCAATATTTTTCACGACTAGATACTGCATCGGTTGGCCCTGGGGAGCGCGGAACATTTGGAGTGTATGCGAAGAGTGGCGACAGCGGCTATCCTGGCTCTGGGCACCGCGGGAGGAGAAGGTATGTCCAGTGACCTCCCCCGCCCCCCCCCCCCCCCCCCC